TGCGCGCCCCTCTCTCTCTCTCTCTCTCTCTCTCTCTCTCTCTCTCTCTCTCTCTCTCTCTCTCTCTCTTTCATGGGACTTGCCGGAGGGCCGTGGGAGGGCCGCATTTATATAGAGCAGGGAGGGCTGCTCGAGGGCCGGATTAAACCGGGCCGCGGGCCGCAAATGGCCCGCGGGCCGGACTTTGGACATGTCTGCCGTAAACACTTGAATTAACTAAATTAACATGATTTAGTTTCAGTTTTTTAAAAGCCCTTGAAATAATTTACATTTGCCCACTTACTTTAAGAGCATCATGAAAGACAGGGACGCCTGGGTGATATGTGCATGATTCTAAAAAAAAAAAAAAGCAGATAGCTCAGCCAAACTCAATAGTGAGTAACTTTATAGGAAGCAGTATTTAGCTGAACAATTTAGTCTTATGCAACAGTAACACTTTCAAGATGTGAAACAAAGCCTGCAATTCCCTACAAATTCCTTTTCTCTACTGATTGATTGTCCTTCCCTCTCTCTCATCTCTGCTGGGTTCTGTTAGTCTAAATTTAGAATGTAGGCTATTCAGGGAAAGAGAACTTCATTTAGTTATTATTGCCACAGTGTATTATATAATAATATTTGCTATATAAAGAAATATAACTGATTTTTTTTTTAGTAAATCATAATTCTGTTATATTAAACTTTCATTTGTATAACAGATACCCCACCAAGCATTATAAGTGTACATTCCACATGAGTGTCATGCATATTGCTGTTGAACTATTAACTGTGCAAGAAAAATAAAGTTCTTCCTTAAATGACCACCATATAAACTCCGCAGAAATATTAGTATTACCTCACAAATATTTAGATCATGCTTTTTTTTAAAAAAAAAAAAAAGAACTCAGCAAAATAATCAATGACATCTAAACATCAGATAAGGGGGTGGGGATAAATATAGTAGATTCTGATTATTCACAGATTCTGTATTTGTGACTTTGCCTACTTGCTAAAATTTGTAACAGCAATCAATATCTGCAGTGATTTCATGGTCATTCACGCACATGCAGCAGAGCAAAAAATTTGAGTCGTCTGACAAACACATTCACAACTGAGGTTTCAGTATTGACCAATTCAATGTTCACATTTTTACAGAAAGTAGCTACTATAAATATTGAGAATTAGATAATTAGATAACCTTTATTGTCATTTTTTTTACTGTGGGCGCATTGGCACACATTAAAAATGACTGTACATTACATTCACTAGCCCTCTGCTATGTTGTTGCCAATTCTTTACTGATCGAGGATGAATACATGCCACAAAGAACTCCAGTTTGGGAAAACATCTTGAAAAATAACAATTAAAGCCTTCCCAAAGGTAGAAGACATGGGAGGAGATTGCTGGTCACAGTCTGCTGGTATTTCAACCATTCAATCCATGCAGTTTCTTTCTGACAAAGTATTCTTCTTTAACATTATCACAAGATATCATAAGGTAAAAAAAGATGTGGTGAAAACTGTTGCTGAAAAGAGACATGGAAGAAAGAGATAGCCATGTACATATTTGCAACTTCCAAAAAGTACTCAACAATGATTTCAGTTTAGGTATTAGAAGTTATAATTAAACATTTGGACATATGCAAAAGGGGGCTAAGAATGCTCACACACACAAAAAATGCTATCTTATGTTACAAGGGATGTGCAGTGATCCAGATCTGAAGGGGGGAAAGCTGTTAATAAAGCACAGAGGAACCCACATGTTTTCACCTGCTGGAACTTGTCAAACATCATTTACAGCAACGGTTCTCAACCTATGGGTCGCGTCCCCATTTGGGGTCGATCGACCATTTCACGGGGGTCGCCAAGCAAGGCTGTCCGCCATTTTCCCCCCTTTTCTGGCGGGTGCCTCACCTCCCTTGGGCTGGGCCAGCTGGTGGTCGGCCTGCTCCGTCTCTGCCGCTTGCCAGCTACGCCTCGGCCGGCGCAGGGGGCAGAACCACGCATGCGCGGCGCTCCCGGGCAGGGAAAGTCCTCGACTTACGACCGGTTGGGTAGTCCTCGACTTACGACCGGTTTAGTCCTCGACTTACGACCGGTTTAGTCCTCGA